GTCGCATGTTATCCTCTCAATCTCATTCTCGAAAAAAAGGTTTGTATTATCACGGGCTGTTTTGAATACCATGTGTACCCCTGCTTTGAATTAGTGTTGTGCGGAAATGGCTTGGAAACTGCATGCTTCGCTTTAATTTTGCTTTAATTTGTCTACGATAGCGATTTTTTATTTTGAACGTGCGATGAATTTATTTTTCAATTAATTTTATATATTTTAAAGTTAATAATTATATAAATTTTTAATAATTTTAAAATTTATAAAATTTAAACCGATAATTAAAAAAAAAACAAATTTAAAATCTGATTAACTTGCTTTAGCTGTTGTTGGTTTTTATTTCGAGGTGAAGCTGAGTCGCATGTTCTCTCAATCAAGTTCTCGAAAAGAAAAGGTTTGTATTTTCGTTGAATGTTTTGAATACCTTTTATACCGGCGCTTTGAATTTCTGTAGTGCAGTAATGGAAGGTGGAAGTGAAAAGGTTTATGGCAGTTCTGTGTTACTTGAGAGGCTTTTTAGCAGTGGTTCCCAATTCTGAACAAAAGGTTGCAACAACTGGAAGTGGATGTGCCTATTCTCAGCCCTTGGACTAGAGATGATAACGTTTTAGCATTCAGCCAAGTGGGTAAGTTCTACACCTTTCCCTCATCTCCCCCACATCAGCTTTTTATCCCTTTTGTTTTTCTTTTCTGCTCTTCTTCTATGGTCTAGTCATTTTTGGCAGTCAATTGCAGTGACCATCACGCTCAGATTGGATCTACCTTTCCAGCGGCCAATAGCATCCGCCTTGGTAGGATCTGACATGGCTTTGCTGTCTGCAATCAAAACAATGTCGTAAATGGTGAATACACGTTTATCCACTAATAATCCAAACATGTTAGGTACTGCTACATACCTCGCATAACTATTACGCAACAACCCATCATAAGCTTTGATGCCTTCTCACCAAACTCAGCATCAACAAAGTCTGCGAATTTGATTGCTTTATACTGCCACAAATGCTTGAAATCCACCAGGGATGTTTATAGGTTCTGCTTGGTGATGTGCGGAAGACTTACCGGCAGATATCCTGAATGCACATGGGGTAGAAGTACCTTCTCTTGAAGTTTGTCGCTCTTTTGAAAAAAAGAAATGAAAAAGTGTAAGCAATTAAGAAATGAACAACTCTCTGTTACATCAACCTAGGCAACAACCTTTTTTGGGTGAAAAGAAACATATAAAAGAACTGCACTCTAGCAATGTAGGTCATGGCACAGGGTTGTGGTCTTGTAAGAAAGAAACTTTGGAGCCGGTCAATCCAACGTGAGACAGCACTAACAGGCCAGAGAAGAGAGGGAATGGTGGAAATGCCAAGGCCGAGGCTGCGACCTCTGAAAGGAAAAAGAATATAAAGAAAACAATACTACCAAAATAGCTTGAAGATATACTTACAAACATCTTCAGGCCGATATATGCTATCTTAAGTTGTTGGCCAACACGAAAATTTAACGCATGGACATTCTTAACCGACTTCGAGACATAGAAAATTCTCTTCACATGTTTCTTGTCACTCTTTCTTGAGATTAAGTGGCCATCAAAAGGAAATGAATCATCAATCCCATAGAACATCTTTATGCTATTGATAATAGCTTCACCTCTAAAGAAAAGAACAGGGTCCACCCCTTTCCATTTTCCTTGAGTTTGCAACTTTCTCTTCCATACAGCCTTCCCTGAATCAGTTTCCCCATTAATTAGAGCTTGGGCTTCCTCTGAATCATTTTGGTCAGATATATTAGAAAGATCAGGTTCCATTGCAGCTTCATCTGGCTCATTGACAATTAAATCTGCCTCCGAGGCTAATTCATAATTTTTTTCTACAGCAGCATCTATGGAGTCCGGCTCCATCCCACTATTTTCTGCAGAAACCTGATTCGATAATTTTCCCTGCAGTATAGTGTTCTTGAACAAACGCTTTTTCTTACTGGGTTTCTTCTGAAAGGCTGCAGGAAAATCATGAATTTGATATAATACTATGAATGATTTGATATAATACTATGAATGCCCAACATGCAAAGCAAGAGAAAAAAGTGACAGACATCCTTCAAAATAGGTTGGAGTCATCATTTATTTCAAGTACTGATCAAGCATTTTGCAAGGGGGAGATGAGACGAAAGTGACATAAGCAAAGGAGCACCATCTTCAGAACACAGGAAACTGCGGGGATTAGGAGTAACCATTACTGGCTACAAGGTCCAACTAGCCTACCCTTATTCTCAACATTAACTGCTCAGATTCTTTATAATAATACGATGCATCAATAACACTAAAATTCACCTGGTAAGGGAGAGAATTTCAGGAGGACAGCAATGAAAAAGGCCCCACTGTTCTGATAAAGAGGCACTATCCTAATACAGCGTTCCAGGACGAGATCAGAAACTTCCTCAATCAAATCTTCAGTGGAAGCGCCCTCCATTGGCCGAAGCCCATCTTCAGAATTCACACTTTGACCATTCTCTTGCCCAAGGCCCTTTTTGGCTGGGGCACTGTAGCTTTTGTCTGAAGGAAACATGCTGGGAAGTATATGATATCTGTGGAATTTGGAGACATCTTTGTGGGAAGCTAACCAGAGATCTTTGTCACGTACCTGTAGACCCCAGAGAACATGAATTATACCATATACAATCAAGAAATTGAGAGCAGAACTTGAGTGTAAAATGCTAAACAACTGCCCATTGAACAATTTCATCCAAAACCAGTCACAACCCCAATATTAAACACCTTGCTTCCTAATAACACACTTTTTTTCTTAGAACAGGGCAAAAGCTGGCTAACTGACATATTGAACAAAACCCAGCTATGCCTTTAGTAGGGAGAACATTAGACAAAAGACAAACCAAAAGAGAACGGATATCCTTCTCAGATGGTGACAGTATTTGAGAGCACTCAAATATAAAATCCTAACCCAGCATCAAAAAACAAAGGAAATAGTAGCATAAACTCCTCTAAACTTCATGTCAAAGCAATTTTCTTTGGCTTTACTCGCAACTGATCATTCTATTGACAACATCCAAAGCGAGATGAATATGCTTAACTTCAGAATGTCTGAGAAACGGAGAACAAATGATCAATCATGGAAATAAAGTAGCATTGGCACAGGAACTATGAAAAATATCCTTTTAAGATCTGTATTACTAGCCTATTAAGGCTTCCATAGTAAATGGACACGGCAGGAATAACATACCTTCCATTTTCTGACACCAGGCCGACGAACAAGTTGAGGAAGGTTCCCTGGAGACGTCAACAAGTTCAACAGACCCTCCACATTTCCATATAATCTAAAGAAAAACAGGCATGATACTAAATTTAAACAACATTGAGAATTATTATTGTTATTTTTTTAAGAAAAAAACCTTCAACAAAGAAGTCTAATGGTGATGTACTTGAGAATGGCTGAGAGATTACCTCGGATACCACAGCCTCATTTTCAACTGATTTCGTTGAGCAGGTCGAGCACACCATTCTTCCATCAACTTTGAGCAATGAAATGCCTGTGCATTACAATATTATGTGTATTAAATCTAGTTGGTGTGCAGCTCTAATTGAAACCAATCCATGTATTCGACTGACAAAGTTAATGCAAACTGTTATGTGAGCCAGCAATACATATAAATGTTGCTGATTTTTGACAGGACATTGTCAGTAAGGGTCACCATACGCTTTCTGGGCCACAAGCTGATTGTTCTAACTTCCAATGCAGTGAAGATGCAGCCATGGGATAAGAGATCTACTAGTTTTATCATGTAGGTTAATTTCATTAACTCTCTGTTCTTACGTGAGGACATTGCAACATGAAATAAAGGCATTTTTCTAGGTTGTGTCAGCCTTAATGTGTGGGTTAAAGTACTTAGTTTGAGATTTTATTTCTGGAAAAATGCACAACCTCTTGAGCAGGAGAGCATCACAATTGCTGCAACTTCTTCAATTCCCTACGACAAAGTGGGTATTAGGTAAATCTCCTAGACAATCTCGAGTTGAACAATCTTATTTCTATTTTTCTAGAGTTCAAATTAGTTTGCAGCAGTCCTTACAAGGCAACAGAGAGTTCCTAGACTTTCTATTAGCATCTCATTAAACTTTGGGAAACGGGCTTGTGCTTTTTGGCTACCGCAGGGCATGTTGCCCTCTCCTTATCTCTTGTTTTTACACTTATTCTTCCATCTTTCTCTAAGGATATATACTGCAGCATCCAATCCACACTCCAGAAAGGCACCAAATTTTGTCATCTCCTGTTATCATCAATCCCAAGTTTCACCCCATTATTATATTAGATACCACCATTATTCCCTTGTTTTCTCTCCAACTCACCAAATGCTAGGAAACCTACTTCTGCAGCTACCATAAACTTCCAAGAAACCAAATTCTTCAAATCTAACCTTCATGTTGCCCTGAAATCTCACCCAATTCAAATGCTATTTACGCTAAAAGCCCCATGCCAACTCTTTTCAAAGTCAAAGCCTTGAAATCCCTGATTGTCTCCAAATGCTAGGAAACCTAATTCTGCAGCTACCATAAACTTCTAGGAAACCAAATTCTTCAAATATAACCTTTGTGTTGCCCTGAAATCTCACCCAATTCAAATGCTATTTACGCTAAAAGCCCCATGCCAACTCTTTTCAAAGTCAAAGCCTTGAAATCCCTGATTGTCTGGCTCTAGCACACCATATTAACACAAGTGAGCAGATTAGACAACTCTGTCCTACATCCAGATAAGCCTTCGGGGTTTGAAATTGACAACCATCAACCAGTAAACTTCCAGGACGGTCAGAAGGAGGACTAGTGCTTCTGTTGGTTGCTCTAATATTTATAATCATTAATCTAGAAACCACAGAAGTAGAAAATATGAAATTTGAATTAATATGCTATTATGAGAAACAAATTATCAGCTAAAACGAGCCTAAAAGCTATGGTTTTGAAATTGCAAGGAAATGTCAATATGAGGTATTTCATTAAGGTGCCTCGCAACGCTATCTGAATTTGCAGACAATGGAGCCCATTGCCCTTTCCTGGATTCCTGTGTTAGAGGGGAAAACAAATATAATCCACTCTGCAAGCTAGTGAAACATAAAAAATGAGAAACTATCCCCGCCATTTCCTCCACATATCTGGAGCCTTGCGGAGGGTACCATCCCCACTACAGGGAACATCACACAACACTCGATCAAAGAGAAGCTGACTAATATGTGGTTCGAATTTCATTTCAGAAGCTTTAGGGCCATTTTTGTCCGAGCGGCACCCAGGGAAGTGCTGAGCTTCATTATTTGTGACTATCAAGTTGGCAGTGCACATTCTTTTTGTTTGATGGATGAGAAGATTACATCTCTGGACATCCAGATCATTAGCTATAACCTAGACAAGTAAATTAGTATTACTGTATTAGTAATAAAGAATCAATTTCTCATTCTAACATTAAAACGAAGTGAATCAAATAGGATTTTCCAAGTACTGATACAATTCAGGGTAAAGAGATGATCAAGCAAAATGAAACAAGTAATACAATTGAGCAGAATGTGAATTGAAAAAAAAAAAACAAACCATTCCACCAGGTAGGAAAATCATTATATAAACCCGAAAGTAGACTTGCCCCCACCATGCTGACAGCCTCCTGTCTGGTGATGTTTCCAATTTCATTTTCTAGCTTTAAGAACGCATGGAATCTGAAACAATTATATCAGAATCACCATTTGTTAAACAAAGAGAAAGAAACCAAAATCAACAGCTCACACATATTCACACATAATGTAAGCCCTAAATATGAAAAAGCTCACACATAATGTAAGCCCTAAATATGAAAATCAACAAATCATATGCAAGTTGGTAGTAAAAAATCCTCTTCCATTTGCAATCTCCCTCTCTAATTTTTCTTTTCCATGGAAAACCAAAAAAAAAAAATCATTCGTCAAAAAGGGAAAGCCATTTCTCCAAACAGCTACCATATAAAATTAGGCATGAAAATTTCAAAGAACATAAAGCATTTTTGCCCACAGGAAATTTTATATATTGAAAATGGTTGGAATATCTTGATTCTAAATGAAAAAACATGGAAGACAACTAGATTGATTCTCAGAAATACATAAAAAAAATGTTTAAGGTGTTTTCCAAGATCCAGAGAAATATGATAGCAATAATTCCATTTCTCTATAGGAAAAATATAAATTAACTGGATATTATTGGTAGGAAATCGTTTATGGCATAGTATACTTCAGCATTAGCAAGTATAATGAATGCATTGCACAGGTCAATTGTAAGCAACTGAAGATAGAAGAAGATAAATTAGATGTAAAACCTTCTGTATAACAGATGTCCAGAAATAAGAAAGGGAAGAGCAGAATTAAGCAAATGTCAGCATTATCAGATAATTGTATTAGTTCAATAGAAAAGATAACAAGTTCACAACAGCACTTGAACAACCCGTGATTTACAATCAGAAATTGCAATTTGAATGCCAAGCAAGATTATCAGGGTACCAAGGCAATGGTCTGATAGCCTCCACTTCATCACCATAAGTGGTCTGTAGAAAAATGACAAAAAATTCGGGGAAAAAAAACAGTAGGCTATCATCTGTAAAAACCAGCATTTGACAACGTAATCATCAAAGGTGTTATAGTTTCAATATAGATAAATACAGGTTAACTCTGCTTTTAGAGAATTCATAAAGTCATTCTCAAGCTGCGATTTGATATCTTCACAAAACTGGCTTCTGCAAAATTGAAGAAAAAGAAAAATCACAAGGTTGATAACTTTTTCCCATGCTGTAATATGCAGTTTTAAGGCTAAAGTTAAGGAAGAAGGTAGGAAGAACACAGGAGAACTCATAGATAAACCCTCCAGATGTAGTCCCTATGCTTGTAATTGCAGATGTCCAACATGCAGAATCTTAATTCAATCAAAAACTCGAGGGGAAAATGGACCTTATACCACAAATATCATTTCCCGCCATTTCATTCTTTTCCCAGGACCATATTTTTATTGCCCAATCACAGTCTACATCCCCCGTCTTCCTTCAATCCCTAAAGCAGCCTCCAATTGAAAAGGATGTCTAGTTTTACTTGCATTGCTAAAATCAGCATCTAAATTCTTCATCGACCTAATCACATCCAATTCATGTAAAACAGCACTGAATAGCAACCCTATATCGGGAGATTCATCTCATGTGTTTGTACAATTCTTACCTATCCTGGCTAGTCTGTTGTTGCTGACAGCATCAACAACTGCAAAAGTCCAACCTCTTCACCCCTAACTCCTAACTTCAAAGTTTTGCATCTTGAACTTGAAAAAAAATAAAAATACTAACTGTACATCTTTTTGCTGCTATAGCATGAGGTAAGAAAAATCACAAACACACCCAGAGCGCCAAAACAAAGAATTAAGCAACAATTCAAATAGCAAAAGAAATCAAAGTTTTACCTTGAATTGATTCTAAAAGCATCAGGCAAGGGTGTTCTAAGAAATTCCACAAAGGTATCCCATTCTTCTGGTCAGTATCCCTTGCTCCTATTTCAAATACAAAATCACTTAAACCCCACGAAACCAAATCAAACAAAGGACCATTCTTTGTTAACCAGAAGAGAAGCAAGTGTAACCTTGTAGTATTCATCAAAGCCAGGATTTTGAGTTGTAAAAGGCTGCCAATGAGTCTTATTCTCAGAGTTTCTGTTGCTGTTGGGATCAGAAGAGGCACTGTCAGATTTGTGGCGTTTCCAGACATTCTCTCTGCCATCACGAAAGTGCTTTCTTTGAGTTCGTAACCTGTTTCCTGTTCCTCTCCCTCCCCATTTTTTTTTTGTTGTTGTTGTTGAAGATACTCTGCTGTTTATCTCCGTACACGACTGTGCCTGGGATTCTTGCTAATGGACTAGGTTTCGGGACCGTTTGGAGGTTTCTGTACAGGTTCAAGGTTGTTCGGGACCGTTTGGCGCGGTAATTGAATTACTGTTCTGCTATTTTTGAATTATTATTTTATATTTTTAAATAGTTTTAATATATTAATATGAAAAAAAAATATTTTAATATATTTTTTAAAAATTACATCTACTCCAGACAAACCCGTGTAGTTCAGAATAAATCTCAGATTCAAACAAACGACCTGTCCTTTTCTCTTCAAAGCTTTTGAGTTAGCCCAATGTACAAATGAACCCATTATTATAGCCCATTTTAAATGCTTATGTCTCTATCTGAACCCATTTTCAACGCTCATGTCTCTTTCTGAACCCATTGTAGCCCGTTAACATATTTCTTTTCCGGGCCGAAGTTGACGAGATTTGTAAAGCATGGTATTATAATAATAATAATAATAATAATTTTTTAAAGTATTTTTTATTTTTAAATAATATGTTTTTAGAAAAAAACTTTAATTATGACATTAAAACATCAAAAATATTCAGAAATATTAAAAAAATCAATTTTTTAAGAAACGTGACCAGCTACGTTCGCAAACACTTTGATTGCCATGATGTTTCCAGTTTTTACCCAGGGCTAGCAGTCCAATTACAGTTCTGTTCTAAGCACCGGCCACTACACAAATGTGAAAGGATTGTTCTGAATGCATGTATATACATGGATTGAAAAGGTGTTAATATCTCCTCCTTGATGCGTGTCCAATTTTACAACACAAAATAATGATAACCGAGTGTTCATGTTCAGCTTGTAGATGAATTCATCTCACGCCCACAGTTATTGAAATGCATTAATTGGAATTTGACTATGGTTATGTTAAAAAGGAATTTAAGTTGTGTTTGAGATCCTTAGGGTATATTTGAAATTGCATTTATATTTAAAATATATTAAATAATATTTTTTTACATATATTTTTAAGATTAGTAGTATAAAAAATATTAATTTAAAGCTTTTTTAAAAAATAAAAAATTTATAAAAGTACAGTCCAATCACACTCCCAACAGTAATTTAGGAAATGTTTGAGAATGTAGTAATGCTGGTGAAGAATGCCGTCTACTTGTAAGAAAAAAGAAACAAAATTGAACTATACTACTAATAAATGTTTTGTAGCTTGTAAATTGTGAAATATTCAGTGAACCATGGCAAGTTGTTAGCTTTTCGAGAGGAATTTGGGTGCAGAGTCAGACTGCATAAAACAGCATTTCGAATCCCTTCTCACAGACAAGCACCATTCCATGATACAAGAGCAGGACCCCATGAACACTGCTGTCACATGACAACAAATTCTTCAAGCTTTACTTGCTGTTCGACCATAAAAAGAAGAAAATCTTGATAAACAATGATCATGGGTTTTGTTAATATTAAGACTCTCTAAAAGCATGTTTGATTCTGCCACAAAGTAAGTAAAAAAAAAGAAGGGTAGGCTAAAGAGAATTATTCCCCACAAGATATATGCTTCCTGCACAGTGCTTACCTCTCCCCAGGGGTGAACAGGATGAACAGGATTGAACTCTATTTAATTCCTTAGAATATGAGAAAGTCAAACCCCATTTACGGCAAACACTTTCGGTCATTAACGTGTTAATTACTTTTTAATCGACATGACGTGTATTCCATTTCATTCGAGGATAAGGGTTATTCTAGCACAAGAGGAAAGAAGATTGGATTGTTCCTGCAGTCTTTTTCCTTGATTTTTTTTTTCTTTGCAAGGTTCACGATGGATTGGCAATGGTGGAATTCAAATTGGAAACATCATCTCTTTTATATTGCTTGCAAGAGTGTTTATGGAGGTAGACTGAATTCTGGTTTGGATTGAGTTTAATTTTTTTAAAGCTTTTTCACAGCGCGTGCCAGTTTTAACGAAGGTAATTAAGAACAAAGATAACATTAAAATATATAATTTACAGCCAGAAAGTTAAAAATTAATCGGTTTGTCTTCTACTCTAAAAGCTCCTAATTTACACAGCCTCCTAAGAACTCTATAATCTCCAATGGAAAAGGAGATCAAACTAAGAGCATTGGATTCTCATAATTTCCCGTAATCTCACCTACTTTGTATTGAATTTAGCATTTGAGTTTGGAGAATGTTATTACGAATGATTTATTTTTTATTTTATTTTTTTATATTTATTAAATGTAGGGTATTTTTCTTATATTTTTATAACATCCAATCACACAATTAAGATATTATTTACTTTAATCCACAGGCCTTATAAATTTATTTTTGATAATTATACGTAACCCCAAAATATATCTTACTAGTTATAGTGAGCATGCTCATATAAAATCCTCTTTCATGTCTTTATATGTCGATATGAAATATTACAATTTATCTTTTTTAAGAAGCCTGATGATCTCATTGAGACCATCGAATAGCTAATAAGCCAAGTTTTAATATCAAATATAACATCTTATCTCACTAGCAAGATTTTATCTGATTTGATCCATAAATCTCATGAATTTATTTTTGATAACCACACATAATCTCAAAATAGGTTTTATTGTGTCTTATTAATTAAGATGAGTATATTTATATAAAAAAAAAATTCAAAGTTTTTATCTCCTAACGTGAGATATTACACCTTTTATTTTGTTTTATAAAACATAACAATAAAACATGGGAAGAAGAGGTAATAGCTGGGTTTCAAATCTCAAATTTCTAGCTAAAGAACAAAAATGACAGTAATATAAATTCAGTGGATTGCTGCAAGGAAAGTTTATATTGGAGGGATGTTTACACGCACACCCTTTCAAGATAGACGTGATGATATATGTATATAGAAGAATGTTTTCTAAGCTCTATGTTATTATATATATATATATATATATATTTTTTTTTGTAATAATATGATAATACTTCAAGACATGACATATGTCAACATCTCTCGGATGAATGGCCTCCATCTTGTTCCCCTGCCTTCGACACTTAAGGGGATGTCATGCAATAAAGACCGCTCCACTGGCCAATCCAATCAAGAACGGAGACTTACATGGTTAAGTGCAAAGATTTGAGATTAAAAAGTTTTTTTTTTTTTTTTTTTTTATTTAAGTTCTTAGTTGTTCATATGATGGCCACTGGAAATTTACATGGTCGTTAACTTCAAGGTCCGTGGAATTAGTTGTACTACGCGCAAGCTGGCCCAGACACCCATGTTAACAACGTCTGGAGGCTTATATGGTTAAGTGGTAAGAACTTGAGATTAAAGAGTTTGTTTTTTTTTTTTGTTTCAGGTTTGAGTTCTTGATTGCTTATATGATGGCCATTGGGGGGTTACAT